AGCAAGACCAGGGCAAGGCCAGGGGCACGACCACAGCAAAGCCGGAGCAAGACCAGGGCGAGGCCGGAGCAAGGCCAGAGCAAGACCAGAGAAAAGCCGGAGCAAGGCCAGAGGCAAGGCTATTGTTTTTTTTTTATTTAAAAAAATTTTTTTTATTTTTTTTTAAATAAAAAAAACCCGTCATTCTTGACCATTGCCAGACCTCAAGAAAACACACATTTTATATTAACTTCACAGTTTTTTTACCATTCAAGCAGCTTTAGGGGAAGACGTTTTTGTATAGATGACAAAGGTTAAAAACAAAAAAATATTAAAAAACATGTTTTTATGTAGTTTTTATAAATAGGAATGTAGTAAGTTTTTACATTTAAAAACGTAGGAAATTTGTACTTATACTAGTCTTGTAGACTAAAAGGCAAAGAATAAAAAAGCTTTGAAGAACTGATTGGTATAGGGTAGGGTAAGGTTTGGAGTTAAACATAAGAATGCGCCGGTCTTTTCCCAAATTTAAGTCGTACCCAGTGTTTTGCCGGACCGGTCCGGCTCTATTTTTTTCGTTCAGGTCCGGTCCGGAAAAAATTTTTTTTATTTTTAAAAAAAGCAAGGAGATTAAAACTGCTTTCTTTACGTTTAAAAACTCTTAAAAATATGTTTTATTTGCAATTTTTAAAACAGTTTTATTAAAATAAAAAAAGTTTTCTTGCGGACTGGACCGGGACTTTTTTGTCGGTCCGGTCCGGAAAATTTTCGGTCCTGTCCGGTCCGGCTCTATCTTCTTTCGGTCCGGCAAAATTGGTCGTACCAGACCTGGAAATAAAGGTCCGGCCCGGCTCGGCTTGAAAAGCCTAGCTGGCTTACAAGAAAAAAAAAATTGGGCTGGTCCAGGTTTGAACAACACTTAGATCAGATCGGGCTTTATTCTCAGGCCCGGCCCGTTCCCTATGTCTAATTGAGGTGAGAAACGGGCATGTCCGAGCTTACTTTTGAGGTCCGGTCGAAGCTCGCAGTTCAACTTTTCAGCCTGGCTTGTTTTCATTTTTCCTTTAAGGTATGGTAGGAGAGAGTAAAGCATGCCCATAACAAGGCCGGGGAAAGGTTAGAGGCAAGACCAGGGGCAAGGCCAAGGCCAGAACGAGCCAATGTTAAAAAAAGTTTTTAAATGCTAAGCCTGGTATTGAACTCTTGTTTCGAATGTACTTTGTCACGAAACAAATTACGTTCTAATTACTTTACAATTCCTGCACCAGTTGTTTTTTATAAACAGTTGTAGTATAATATTAAATGTGGCGACATTAAGTTATGAAATATGTCACGATGACGAAACGAGCTGTGTCACATTTTGTGCCTCGGCATTTTAAAGTACTTTGCAGTAGTTTTTTTATGAGTTGTAGTTTCCTGGTAATCTTACGGTAGGTTTGGAAAGGTATAAGGATTTTTTTTATTTCGGGGGGGGTGAGAGCGGGGCTAAGGATAGGGTTAGAGATAAGGCTGCCAAACTTTTTTTTGTAATTTTAGCACCGTTGCCAAAAAAATGAATTTGTCGAAAATACAAAAAAGGTATTAATACGAGTCATGCTTAATACAAAAAAAAAATTTTTTTTTGTGTATTACAACTATAAAAAGGCTATTTGTCAGCGTTTTTTTACAATTTTAAAATACAAAAAATAATTTTTTATCCATGTAAAGGCTCAAAAAGCCATTTTTTCACGTTGTAAAAGGCCTTTTTTTATAAAATGAAGATACAAAAAACTCGATTCTATTTGTCATCAAAGCTACAAAAAATATTATTTCCAAATTATGGCCTTCGTACTGCGCTTTTTTACTTCAACATTGTAGGTACAATTGCAAAAAACTTGCAGATTTTAATTTTTTTTAGTCGCCGTTTTTAAAATTGTGGAACCAAATTTTTGTGGTGCTGTAAGAGACCACTAAGTGCCTTACAACTAGACATGGCAAACGGGCCGGGCCGAGGCCCGCGTCGGCCCGTTTTTTGAATTTTTTTTTTCCCGCGTTTTTTTCTACTTATCAAATCAGTCTGAAACTTTTTCTACCCCTATGTTTTATTGCGTGCTACCCCATCCAAATGATCTTAAAATCTTGATAGCTCTTACAGTTTTTGAGATATGGACTTGGCGGGAAAAAAAATTTAAAAAACGGGCCGACGCGGGCCTTGGCCCGGCCCGTTTGCCATGTCTACTTACATACCTAGGTACCTAGGGGTTTGAAAAGGGCCGGGCCGGGCCCACTTTTCAGGCCCAGCCCAGGCCCGGGGCCCAACGTTTAGGCCCGGCCCGTTTTCATTTTTTCTCAGGCCGGCCCGGCCCGGACAAAAAATTTCTAGGCCCGGCCCGGCCCGACCCGTTTTAAAAAATTTAAAAAATTTTAAAACAAAAACTAAACGGAAATTTGGCTTTAAATTGTTTTTTTAGAACATTTATGGATCATAGAACCCAGTAAAATCGAAAAACATCAATATAGATTGAAATAAAAAATTTTTTTTGGGCCGGGGCCCAACTTTCATTTCTCACCCCTACACGTACCCTACCTGCTCCGCTCAGAATCAGCTCAAAATTTTTATACGAATTCTTTGTACTAGCACTAGTACTTTTGGCATTGCGTTTCAAGCACTTTTTTCGACTTTCCAGCCAAGCTACGCTTATAAATGCAAGAATATAGGTTTATTTAAAGGTTTTCTAGTAGTATACAAATGAAAAATTTTTTAAAAGTTAAAAAATTGAAAAGTTTAAGCCTGAAACGCTATGCCAATTTGGCGGTAAATTCAAAACGTAATTTTTTGATTTTGAATTTTTTGTGATTTCCTGAAAAGCGCAATTTACTATTTTGCTGGTAATCTTATATTTACATGGTCTTTCTATATAAAAAGTTTCAAGTCAATCAGAGCGGGGTAGTTCAGGTATTTTCCTTGTGAGTCCAACTGTTCTACTGTATTTTTTTCCTTTTTGCTTCAAGTGCCTATAAAAAACTTTTTTCCTGCCAAAGTTGTGCTACAAAAAACTGTGCAAATCAGTACAAAAACTGTTCAAAAATTTCACAAAAAAAAGTTGTGGGGATAAATACAAGAAAGGTGGGGCAAAATCCACTTGTACGTTGGATTATTGCTTTTTCAGTACAATAACAGGCTTGTTGAAACTAAACAAAGCTTGCTGTGGAAAAACCACTTGAGATCTCCTTACTTTTTTACGATTTAAAAAATTTTTTGTATTTTAAATTTTTTTTATTTCAAAATTTGTTTTCTATTTTTTTTTTGTATTCAGTACGCACAGTAGTAACACAATATCAACTGTGGTTATGAAACTACTCGCATCGTAGTAAAGTTGTAACTTTAGGTACTACCATTATGTAGTTAAAAAATGTTATAGTAAACAATTTTTGTACGTTTTTAGTGGGAAATTGTGCTTTTTTAGAAGATATTGAGTTTTTGAGTACTATGTTTTGGAATCAAGTGTTGCTGCATCAACCACTTGTAAAGTTTTTAGAATTCATTTTTATTATGTAGTTATTTTAAAAATGGAAACATTTCAAAATGTTGAAAAATAGTAATGTAGTTCTGTGCAAAATAACATACATGTAAACAGGCTTACTGTAAAGTAACTGAAAACATGGTAAAATTGTAAGTCCAGAGCTCTAACGCTACCCTAGAGACTTTGCGCAAAGCCGAAAGGCCTGCCCTAGCCCAGAGTCTTAGCCCAGAGTTTTAACTAAGAGCCGCAGCCCAGAGACCTAACTCAAAGCACTACCCCAGAGCCCTAAACCTAGCGTAGCTGCCTTTGGTCAGGCTTTTCTTTGGACTGCTTTGGCTTTGCAATTGGTCTTTTTGTGCCCATGACCGGCTTTACTTTTGGCCTGGCTTTGCCCGGTCTCTAGCTTTAGCTCTAGCTTTATCATAGCGGCTGTATCACTGTATGTTCTTTACACTAGCCGTACAGCCTTTTTCTAGCCTTACCCTTTGCTTTTTTCTACTCTACCCTGACTAGAGTTCTTCCCGGGCCGGGCCTAATGCGGAAGTCCGGAATTTGAATTTTGTTTTCCCGCGCTTTTTTACCGTCGGACTGAAACTTTCTCTACCCCCCCCTCTATTTGGAATAGTGCTAACCCTCCTAGATTCTGTTAGTTTTTTGATATCTGTAATGGTTTTCGAGATATGAGTTGGGCGGGAAAAATAAATTGAAAAATCCGGACCGGGCCCGAAAGGCAAGCTCTGACCTTGGCTTTGGCATGAAGCAACTTTTAGCTCTACTTTAGCTTCTATGTAAACACAGGCTCTTACTGTATTTACGCCAAAAGCTAAAAATATACTTTGTTGTGATTAAAATATAGTTTCAATTTTGTAAATGTCTTCCTAGTTCAAAGTACTGTACCTTCTTCAAGTTGAAACAACTAAAAAAGCAAAAAATTTTTAAGCTTAAGCTCATTTTTAATCTTTTATAGTGTGTTTTGATTGCTCGGCCATGCACTTACAATTATTGCAATTTTTAAGCGTTGACAATATTTAACGGCTTATCCCCTGCCCATGTCAATCAAGATGTAACATAATAACTTATAGTGCTATTATTACAACAGACGTTTTTTTTTCGAAACACTGATTTTAAACATTTTACGAGCAATTTGGTTGTTTATTGTACAGTATCACATGATACTAACGTAAAATGATTTTTTTTCTAGACGTAAACATGAATGTAAATTAAAACAACTTTTGATGTAGATTGTTTACTGTCTGAAAATGTTTTTGTTGTCTAATTTTGGGTTTTGAACTTTTTGTATTTTGTGGAATAATACATTGCTGAGACCTAGGGTTATGCCAAGCGTCAGTCATAGACTTAACTTTAGCCTTAGCCTTAGCCAAAGAATGGGCCTGGTGCTAGGGTGTGCCTGAACATGAGCATGTGCTTGGACTAACATGAGTTAGGATATGGACTAGTGCACAAAAAGAGCATGGATTAGAGAATGAGTAGAAGCATGGGTATGATCTAGGGCACGCGCTAAGCTTGAGGTTGCGCCTGAGCATGAGCATGAGCATGAGCATGAGCATGAGCATAAGCATGAGCATGAGCATGAGCATGAGCATGAGCATGAGCCTGAGCATGAGCATAAGCATGAGCAGGAGGATAAGCATGAACATGAGTCTGTGCTTGAGCCTGAGCATGAACCTTATCTTTAGCTTAAGCCTGAGTCCTAGCTTTAGCCTCAGCTTGAGTCTGAACCTGAGTTATATTCTAACCTTTACCCTGAAACTGAGACTAAGCCTGAGCTTGAGACAAAGCCTAAACCTGATTTCAGTTGCATACGCCTTAATCAGAACTCTACCCTTGGCCCTAGCACTAGTCCTAACCTTACACCAGTTTTTTCTTGCTCTAAACCGACTAAAAATAGGAAAACATACAAACACTGTAGTTGTAGCCCAGTCTTAGACCGTTGTTTAATCTCGAAAACATGCTGGTTTGATGACAAATCCCCAACCCTTCGTACTATTCCGTTCCCATTCATATATGTGTTTGCAGGTCTTTAACACTATAGTCGTATGTTATTTGGTCTTGTCAATCCTATTGTCATATCTTAACGTTCTCTATCTTAACGTTCAAAATCCTATCGTCGTATGTTAGCTGTCTCTCAAAATCCTACAATCGTATGTTGGTTTCCCTTCACAATCCTATGGTCGTATGTTTGTATTTATTTAAACTGCTTTCATTGTTTCGTTCGCCCTAAGGTGATTTTCATGCGTTAAGGCGGATGGCGCCCAAAAAAAAGTGCCAAAAATATTCAGGGCCTGGTGGCACCAGGAACAAAACCAGATCAACCGCTACGTGCTGTTTTTCCGGAATTAGAGCATTGTCCAAGGGCATTACGTATTACAGCATCATATTATGCATGAGGTTAATAGGGTTAAGGAGACATACGGGCTGTTTAGGGCTACATCGTGGGTTTAGGCATCAACTTATTTGGGTTGATCTTCGGAAGGAGGACATTTTTGAAAGGTCACCTTATTCAATGTATTAGTGGAATGATAACATTGTTAGGGTAAATGTTACATTAACTAGCCTCTAGACCAATTTACAACGTTCAGAATGATTTTTAAACTTAAAAAGCAAATACCGTACGTTCTAAAAACAATACATTTGTCTTTTATTGTTATCAATAACTTTCAAAATATGTTCCAGCGTTGTATAAAACGTGAGGCGTCACGTTGGTAAACAAAAATAGTATCAGTAATTGTTGAGCTTTTGGTCGTTACGACTGTAGGCTTTACCTTTATTTGTTAACATACGCTTTTACAATTGCAGTTATATACTCAACGTTTGGATAATTGTAGGTATTGATGAACGAGTTAGAAGACAAATCAGACGATTCATTTCAGCCAAAATTACTTAACTGAAAGTCAGGAATGGTACTTATACCCATAACGCTTTTATAACTGCGGTTACATTATTTGTATTTTTTACGTAACGTTCTTCAAACGTCTACAATTACAACTGAGGAGATATAGATTAAATTAGTTGATGATTTGATGCTGTAGATTGTAACGTACTATGCTAATGTTCAAGAATGTTCAAGTTTCAGATGAAGCCAACGGAGCTATCTTTGTATCTGAAGTTTCTCATTATTGGGTCTCTCCCCAGGTATTTCACTGTTTCTCGAGACACAGGCGTTGCAGTAACAAACTCAACTGTTTTACAATTGCAGTTACATACTCAGCACTTTTGCAGCTACATACTCAACGTTTGTACAATTTCAACAATCAAAAGTATCAAATCATATAAAATAACAAGTTTTCACTTGAAGTATCTATTGACCATAGAGTGTCGTTTGGTGCAACAATCCTCTTTGCGTTTCTTTGATTCGAGTCAAAACGTGTAGTCAATATGATAACTCGTGATCTTTTCTGCTTGTTCGGAAGTAATCAAACAAGGAAAATGTTGCCAAATTACAAAATGAAACATTTTCCAAGCGATAAGAAAACAAACAAAGAGATTATTAACTAAAGTGGTCCCATTCGAATATTTTTATTTTCCTATTTTTGCAACTGATACGGTAAAAACGTGTAAACAAGCAAAATATTGTTACTAGGTGTTTCTTAACATTAAATGTCTTTAAAAAGCTTAATTTCGATGTAGCCCTAGCCTTAGCTTTAGTTTTATGTTAGCTTTAGATTAGTCTTAAACTTAGCCTTAGATGAGTCAAGCTTAGGTTAAGGCTAAAACTGAAAACAAGCGCAGATATCTATCTTATACGCTTTAAAATAGGTAACAACAAAAATTAAAATTTAATGCAAAACAGTTTCTAATTAGCCCTAGTAACCTAAAGCTAACGTTCTTAATCACCTTGAAAACTTTTTTGCTCACGTGATGATTCTACGTAAAAAACCAATCTCTCAATCAGTTACGATTTAAGAGTACAAACAGCAGTTTAACAACCTAATGCAACTCTGAAATGCACTTTTATTAAAATAAACATTTTCCGTAGACTGACCTTTTAGGTTTCCTAATTATAAAAGTTCACTTTGATAAGAAACAAAAAGTAACGTTTAGAACAGAAACGTTTTAAGTGGTGACGTTACCAAAAAATGTTTCAATCAAAACTAGGATAGGTTTAAAACAAAGCTTGGCTATGATAAGGTTAGGGTAGAGTATTATGAGCCTACAAAAGGCTTCAAAAGCTACAATAGGCGTACTGTGTGATTCAATTACAATCGAAATAAAGCTGAAACGTTAGTATACAACTTTTAGTAATATAGCATAATTTTTACATAGCTATGTATATATGGAACAAAATTTTTTTATAGTTTGACACATTACTGTAAGGACACAATTTTTTATGTACTTACGGTTTTTCAGCACGGCCTGACACATACTCGTTCAGACCGCATAACACTTACCCTACAAACAATTAAAATGTAACTACAATACTAATGACAGTAAACACTCGAGGTTAATGCCATTGTGAAGTTTTTTTGTATTTTGACGTAAAAAAAGTTCATAAAAAGTTTACAACAAGTAATGTTTTGTATGTAGAATATGTGGTATGTTCTTTGCCTTTTGGAGATATTATATTATTTTGAAAGCACGTTTTTATAGTCAAGTGTTTGAGTTTATTTTTATTATTTTTGGTTTTTTCCAGCAACTGGTCGGCCTTGAATGTCAACAAGGACAGTGAAAGACTATTTAGAAATAACAAACTGGATCAAGAATTTATATACATTTCAATTACAAATACGATGTTGAACAGAACAAATAAGGGAGACAGCATCAGCTTTGGTAATCGTCTGAATTTACTGTTGAATGGATTTCATCAAATTTTGACAAACTTTACGTTACAGCAAAAAATGGAAACATCTGCTTCAAGGTGGTTTTTAAGAGCGGCTTATCTTGCACTTTTGTATACGAAATTACCTTGGAGAACTTGAACTTTATATAAGCATAGCTAGCTTTTGCGCCATGATTGTGACCTTCAAGCGCTAGGACAACGTTTTTGAAATAAGCATAGTATTGAAACTGTTACCTTTTAAGAATTTTTCAAAAATTTTTGCCGTTTTAAAGCAAAACCTTCTACGTTCAATCCTTTTTAAACACATTTAGTAGCCCAAAAAAAGTTAAGCGTAGGAAGTGTCCAGAATTGTGAAACTTCTGAACCAAATTTAAAAGGCTATTAGCAGGAGATTTGGAGGAGTTCGCTTAATGTAAAAGCAATTTTAATGCGATAATTTGCCAGATACAGAAGTGGCACAAAGGGCATAGAAAAGGTCAAACATGCTGACCACTAATTGATAAAAAGTGACAAGTTCAAAAATTAACACAACACTTTAAGTTTGTTAATCCCAGGTTTTCTTTATAATCTTGCGCCACAGTAAGACTTTAATGTACAGACACAGCTGTTTATACATATTCTCGTACATACATAGTCTTCATATCATAGTCAGTATTCCTGGCATTACTAAAAAGTTTGTTTGTGTTACTTTTTATGTTATTTACCACTCTATTAGCATGTTTTATGTTATCCACCATACCCTGCTACTATTTTTTATGTTATTTACCATCCCATTAATAACCTGCCATCCACGGAACGACATTGTTTACTAATCTTATTAGGGTTATAATCCGAAGCCTTTATTCAGTAGATTAATCTTTAAAACCTATTGGCGATTATATGGTATTTGCACGTGTTGTGCCATTATGTGAGGAGCAGAATTGTGATTTTTATTTTATGGTGGCCAAGTTTCAATGTAATTAGAGCCGGTTTGTTTATGTTAGTTGGGAAGAAAATCAAATTTTAAAAATTTTAGGGAAAGTTTTTTTTTTATTTTGAAAATGAAACAACCCCAAAACATATACTGACAATATCAGTAAACTTAATCTTTTTGTAACCAACTAAGCTAATTAGTTTTAGAATTTCATAAAAACTTATCAACAAAAAGTTTTGGTCATGTGCCCAAGAAAGCACAATAGATTCCAAATCGGCCATTTCTTATCACTAAATTCGGTATAACTGGAACAAATTGAAACTGTCGATTCAGCTGATTTTTCGTCTCTTTTTTATAATTTTAGAAAAAAACGTGAGATTTAAAAAATTTAAATTTTTTAAATTCATAAACTTTTTTTAAGAAAATTGAAAAAATTTTTTACTTTTTTACCACGCCCGATTTATAAAAATTAAAAATTCATGAAGCCACGTTAAGTAAAAAAACGTTTTTGACTCAGTTTTTTTAAAATTATAATTTATACTGGCTAACGATTGTTTTCGTGTTGGGACCCAGATCTATCGTGATGGGACCAAAATTTATGTCTCGGGTTATTGTTCGTAGCACTATGATTGTACTAGAAATTTATTTTTCAAAAGTTTTGTATTACAAAATTCGGGTTGAACTTTTTGAGCCATTTTTTCTAAGAAAACGGCACAAATGTATTAACATAATCGAATTATTTATGTTAATGTTGTTGCATTGAAACTACTGTTTTATTTAAAGTGCAGTTGTTTTTTATGCGTGTAAACTTTAAAAATAGTATGTATTAGGTATATTATGGTAAAATACGTCTACTCATCTTTGCTTACTTGCAGTTTAAAATACTCGACAAAAAAATTTTTTTTAATGTGAAAAATTATAGTGTGCATAGTAAAACCATGTCATATCATGCACATGTGTTAAACATTAGTGGCTACTTTCAAGCCTTAAGGTTTCAGTAACAAGAACGAATTAAATAGTACGCAAACAAATGGTTCCGATTCATACTAATATATTCGACAAACATAAGATTCTTGGCAACACGTCAAAAAGGTATGACTAATACATACTTAATCAAAACATGGTAAGGTATCGTGTTTCAATTGAGCATGACATATGAATATTTTGAGATTGTACCTTAATTTATGGCTTTTGGCCTACACATACGTGACAGGATAGGTTAGGGTAGGGTATGGTATGGTAGGGAAGGGAAGGGAAGGGAAGGGAAGGGAAGGAAAGGAAAGGGAAGGGAAGGGAAGGGAAGGGAAGGGAAGGGAAGGGAAGGGAAGGGAAGGGAAGGGAAGGGAAGGGAAGGGTAGGGTAGGGTAGGGTAGGGTAGGGTAGGGTAGGGTAGGGTAGGGTAGGGTAGGGTAGGGTAGGGTAGGGTAGGGTAGGGTAGGGTAGGGTAGGGTAGGGTAGGGTAGGGTAGGGTAGGTAAAACAAAAAATTTTACTACGTCATCGTACAGACATAAACCACCAAAATTTTTCCGCCTGGTACCAAAGGTTTGGCCAACGTTTTCACTGACAAATCGCCAACACAACCCCAAAATAAAGCCCTATGCAAAGGGAATAAATCGTATTGTCAGTCGTATTAACACTGTAATCAGCTCACACATACGCAAATATTCAAATACCTCTACAACGAAAATACTGAATGATAAAAAGAGACGTCTTAAACATAATGTAAAACGAAAGAATAGATAATATATTTAAAATATTAACAATTTTTTTATGGTATTATTGAATGTTTTGTTTTTGCACTCTGCAAGACCAAAGGTGGCGGTGATGTTGGAAATAATATCGAACAAAAGACAAAAATTTAGTACATTGTGCGGTTATTATAGTAATGGAAAAATATTGTAAATATCCCCATGAGTTTTGATAATTCACTAAATAGCCATAAATTAGAGACAGAGAGGGCAAAGAATGAAATAATGAAATATGAGGAATTTTAAAAATTTTTATGATGAGGATTCGACCCAAGACAAAATAATACAAGTTTAGGGGTGGAACTTAGTCTACAACTAGGATAAAAGCAAGATATAAAACTAGAGCTAAGATACAATTAAAGATGGGAGTATGGGTGTAAGAACGGGTTAATCAAGGACTAAAGTTGGGGTTAAAGCGCAAGCTATGGTTCAACCTAAATCTAGGACTAAGCCTAAGACTATAGATAGAGCGAGAACTAGAGCAATAGATAGGGCTAAAGCTAAAGCCAGGATAAGGCCAAGACTAAGGTCAAGACTAAGGCTAAAGCTAAGGCTAAGGCTAAGGCTAAAACTTAAGCTAAAACTAAGGCTTAGGTTAAGGCTAAGGCTAAACTAAGGCTAAGGCTAAGACTTAATTTTAAAATACTATAATAAACAAAAACCTTAACATCAAATGTAAAAACAAAGTCCACTGTACAGTTCAACTGTATTTTGTAGAAGCTAACTGTATTCACCGTGCAGTTTGTTACATTTTTCGCATCTTTAAAAACGGAAAAATCAAAATTTTCAAGTATGCATTTCCGCGTACAAAAACAAGCCTCTCCAAATTATGTTTTGTAGCTTAACTATGTGTTTACCGTATCACATAAAGAGAACAATTTTGACCATGTTTTACGCTATTTACAACTTGTTTATTGACTTTACAATTCAAAAATTTATTTACAGTAATTTTCATGAAATTTTTGCAAAAAACCATTTTTTATGTTTTTATTTTATGTTTTTAATCTATTTTTTAATATTACACTGTCAATGATACGAAGCCAACAAACTTTAATCATTTTTCTTTATTTATGGATATATCTCTGGTTGAGCGATAAACAATAACAACATAACTAAGTGTGAATTGCAAGCTAGGAGAAGAGTTTTCAATTAAAAAAAATAATTTGCGAATTAAATTGAGATCATTTTAAGCACTTGCGATCAAAGATATATCAAATGATTAAGTAGTGAAGAGAGCGTTTTTTACTGCAACTGGCAACTTTTGCAACTTTCGCAACTTTATAGAAGTTATCTACAAAATTTATCGTTTTTGAAGCTTTTAGTCAAAACCTTAACCAAAATTTTTTTCAAAGAAAATTAAAAAAGTTTCTGCAGTTGCTTCGGTTGCCGATTGCAGTAAAAACACGTGAAGGCACGTTAGAATGAGTGATATCAAATAAATACAAATATAAGTTAACAAATAACTCTCTTCACTGGGTCAATAAGGCACTCGAGATCAGGTAAAGCTAATTAAAAACTTGCGCTTAAGTACGATGCAACAACAATACTAAGTTGTACTACGGAAGGAAAACAACAAGAATGACACTAACGTCAAATGAGCTATTGAGAAAACAGTAAGATGTTTAAAATACAGTAAGATATAGAAAATACAGTGAGATATTGAAAATACAGTAAGGATATATAGGATTGAACGATAAAACAATGAACTACAGTAATAAAGAGAAGATATTGTAAAAGTAGAGCAATTTTGTGATAAGATACTGTAAAAGTAGAGTAAACAAGATTAACAGCTACAACTGAATAACGCTACATAGGGCTACTAACAACTATGGGGCAGTATTTACAGTATTCTCTTCCATGAAAAACGATGAGGTTATGGAGTGAGCAGAAGAGAGATTTTTTGAAATTCAAATGTTTGCGAAAGCCGTTTCGGAGATTCGAAAGAAAAAAAAGAGTAGGAAGATTCCTTAACAGCGCTACAAAGTAAGAATTTCCTCGACAGGACAGTAGAGGAACAACTCCTTCAAAAATACCATAAAGGAAAGATCCCAACAAGGACCATGAAATGCTGTGAAGTGGTTGAAAGAACGGTAAATTTCGGCTGGAAACGGAGTTTGATGTGTGGTGTTGATGTTGATATGTTGACGTGAAAGGGACAACAACGGTAAGGCATGTGCATGGCACGTTGACAATGTTTGTTGTTTTTTTGACAAACCATGGCTTGTTACTTTGTTTTTTGCCCAACATGTTGTAATGGTCCATCTAGGTGTTGTGATGGTACATATTGATGTAATAATGTTTAGTACGTGCAGGATGTTGTAAAAGCACATTGTCACCAACTTCATAAACTCAACTTTCAGGATGATACGCTATGGTGAACATTGTATCTCAGTTGGTAATACGCTATGACAAAAGTTGTCACCTCAGCAACATTGAAACGTAGCAAAGGTTTACTGGAAGTAGCGCTCTTCGAAGAATTTTCGCAGTTTAGGGAATCGGTTCGTTCGTTGGTGATTTTTTTTTGGGAAAGGCGTCGTGTTCATGGGCACGCGGTCAACAAATACACCGTTGTTGTTGTCGTAGTCGGAAGTGTCTCTGTATTCGTAGTCTTCTTGTAGAGCTGAAAATGTTGAGATTAACAATCATAATGTTAAGATTGAAGACCAAGCCTTAATTTGCTTGCTATAGTTTTTTATATTAAGATGCTATGGGTTTTATAAAGATAAAGTCTTCTAACATTTATCTTTTAACATTTAAAATTTTCGTCTTTTCACCTTCTCTATCTTAATACTATGTAAAACGACATTAAGTTATAAATATCACTCCTGTATTCAAAAATTAAAAATTAATTTCCAGAAGCTTAATCCGGCTCAACACTAAACCATTGTACGAATCAGTATACTTACCTCGTTTCCTGTGACGATGGGCGCGTGCATCAACTGTCGTCGTCGTTAGAACGGAAATAGCTAGCACTAGTGCAACCAAAATTTGCATGATTGTCGTGTAGTTCATGTTTTATCTGTAAACTAAATCAACAATTACTGTGTTAAGGGGTTTGTAAGAGGCTGTGAAGCGCGATAACACTAGTAACTTGCACGCTACAACTAACAGTACTGATTAGAGTAGGGTAAAGTAGAGTAGACTAAACTAGAGGAGTCTAAAGTAAAGTTAAATTAACATTAAAAATGGCTTCAATTGATCGTATGAACGCCTTTAATTGGCGGTAACAAAAATGAAACAGTAGGTGATTTTTGAGACGTTACAGCGTCGCGATTCGTTTGTAAAACGTTTTTTATGTATAAATTATGAAACACGTCAGTTTTTTTCGTGTTCAGTGCCAGCCGGAAGTTGAGTCGTCCAGACTAAGAAGTTGGGAAGGAATTCAATTTGAAACGCGTATTGTTTGAATGATTAAAGCTATTGTAAGTTTATTTGAGGGGTTGAGAGTTGAAAATACAAGGAACGTTTTAATTAATAATGATGGTTACAAAAAGCATCGTTTGAGTAAAATACGTACCAAATCGCTTTGGAATAGATAAAATTGGTAATGATAAATCAAAAGAATAAGTATCAAATAAAGTAATTGTTACAAATAAATATCAAAAAAGAAGTCATAATGCCCAAGCCACAGTACCAAAACCACCATACTACTACACCCTACTACCAAACCACCTTACTACTAGACCCTACAACCAAACCACCTTACTACTAAACCCCAGTATCAAACCACCTCACTACCATACCCTTACATTGCTTAGGCAATTCGAGCTCACCGCGCCCAAAAAGCAACAACAACAAAACTAGCCCAGCTCGTAGTGTAATCTTGATTTATATATGAGATGGGGCGAGCGCCCCCCTCCCCTGCAAAAATGTATTGCCGCCGAGCGGGTGAATCCCGAACCGCCGCCAACGGGCGGGGTGAGTCGAACGAAAAGGGAGGCGTGTATCGGAATTTAAACCACCCCTCGCCGCGAGTTTCCTCGATGATTATTGGCTCCGCCCCGCGAATGTTTCCCCCCCTCCCGAATACGAACGCGACAAAACCCTAACGGGTGGGAAAAATAACAAGAAGAAGGTCGAAAAAAACGACAATATATATTCCGATAGCCATAATGAAGGAGTAATTAAAAGGGGGCGTGCCAATGACTCAACCGGTCAATGTTTTCGCCGATTGTCATCGCTTTTTTTTAGACATCCTCAGGGGCGGGGCGAGGTGAGAACAAAAGTCGAAATGTTCAAGACATTGTGGCGAACATTGGTGTTTATCAATGTTGTTGAGAGCACAGAATATCACTGCTCAGTGTTGTTATAAGCAATTTTGTTATAACTGTCGTAGCAAAGTGAAAAAAAATTTTTTTTTACAAAAGTTTAACGTGGTCCCCCCCCTGTTGACCTGTTGATATACAAAAAAAAATTTCAAAAACTTTTTAAAATGTACCCATTTCGAAAAAAAAATTCTTTAATACCAACGCCCTGCTCTCTTCCCCCCCCGCCCCTTAAAAAAATAAAAAATTTTTTAAAAAATAAAAAATTTTTTTTTCATTTCCAAGACCACAAAATATGAACCGAATCACCAGAAATCAATCAAAAAATGACCAAAGTCTAAAAGTTTCAAGATTTTGTGCGCAAAAACTTCCAAAACGACGTAAAATTTTCGCTTTTCTCGTCGAGATTTTTCACTTTCCATCGGTCGAACATGACCGAACGCAACCGCGCTCTTTATGTAAATAACCGAAAATGCAACCTTGAGGGCATTGTTGTTTACGCACGCATTTCGAATTTTTGAAAACGGTTTTAAACGTTTGCACAGTGCGATAGATTTTTGGGTTTGGAGATAAATAGAGATTTTTAGGTATAAAGTAGGGAGGGGGGGGGGATTTACCTACCTACAATAACTTGGCTTGGCTTGGCTTACCTTGCCTTGTTTTGCCTTGCCTTGCCTTGCCTTGCCTTGCCTTGCTTTGCCTTGCCTTGCCTTGCCTTGCCTTGCCTTGCCTTGCCTTGCCTTGCCTTGCCTTGCCTACCACACCCTAAATTGCTCCGCTTTACCTTACCTTATCCTACAATAACATATTCTGCCCTACCATATCCTGTACCGCCCAAAATTAAAAAAAACTTTTACTTGTTCTCCCTGCCCCTAACAACTGTTTTTCTGTTCCCGCTGCCCCTAAGAACTTCATTCCTGTTCACCCTACCCCAATTTGATCATACATTATGACAAAACTTTGTCGCTCGCACTCGAATCGCTCGTTTTTTAACGCAAAACACAAAAGTGAAACTTCACTCCGCCCCTCCCCCCCCTCACTCTAATGTTCCGGAATTTTGTCGAAGGTAAAAGTGAGAGTTTGTACCGGTTACAGTATTTGGAAATCCATCAAATGTCGAAATCGTAAGATGATTCAGAAGGCGCAAGGACGAACTACGTCTGGGAACACGAACAAAACAAAGGCGACGTCATCGCGAATCATATTATACCGTAATGTTATTGGTGAGGAATTTGGGGGAATACTAGGAGTGGTTTGGAGGGTACAGTAAGGGTTAGACTAATAGTTTTAAGATTGTTGTAGAAGGTAAAGCTTGTGCTAGAGATAGGGATAAAGATAAAGATAAAGCTAGAGCTAGGGCTAGACCTAGGGCTAAGGCTAGAGCTTGAGCTTGAGCTTGAGTTTGAGCTTGAGCTTGAGCTTGAGCTTGAAATTGAGCTTGAGCTTGAGCTTGAGCTTGAGCTTGATCTTGAGCTTGAGCTTGAGCTGAGGCTAGAGCTGGGGCTAATGCTAGGGCGAGGCGAGTTCATAAAAAAACTTTTTAAAATTAAAAAATGCGTCATGTTTAAACTTTTCCAATTTAAAAAATTGATTTGTAAGCTAAATATACAGTCATCAAGGGTTCAGCGACGGGCTCGGTGATCTTTTAATGAGTAACCAAAAATTTTTCTTAAAATGTGACATTTTAATTTTTAAACCACAAGAAAAAAATTCAGTCAATAAAAAATGCCATGCCCGGTCAAAAATATTGCACTTCAAAAATAATTTTTTTTTAAAAAAAATTTTTTTATTTTTTATAACATACGGTTTTTAAAAATCAAGTAAACTATCACAGTGTTAAATTAGAATACAATTCATAAACGTTGCTACACTTTTTTTAGAAGAGAATATATAAAAATCATAAAATACATGTAATTGTAAGTTTAAGCTTTTTAGGTATAAAGTAGAGAAATATGAACCCTATCCTGTCCTACTCTGTTTATTTTCTTACAGTGCACAGATGCTACCTGCCCGTCCATTAAAAAATGTTTTTTCTAGTTTTTGCGTACTTATGGCAAAAACTTTCTTTACAAAACGAAAAATGGCAAGAACTTTCTTTACAAAATAAAAATAGCAAGAACTTCCTTTACAAAACAAAAATGGCAAGAACGTTTTTTACAGTCCAAAGAACGACAAGAATTTTCTTTACAATACAAAAAATGGCAAGAACTTTCTTTACAAAACAAGAATCACCATCTATTCCTTGTAATCACTTTATCCACGCCCCGCTCCCTACCAACTTCCTTGTGTACAACCTAACCTTTGACTTGAAAAACCAATTTTGCTGACAAAAATCAACAAACACGATCAATTCACCAGCTCCACCTAATACCTTTCCTTTTCCAGCAATCCCTGTTCCAAGGGCGATAAATTGTGTAAACAATCCAATTAAATGTAGGTTTACAGCGCCAAAGTTCAGGCCGATCATAAAGTGCGCGACAAGTGCGGATATGACCCCGTAGCACGATGTACCTTTTGTTTTTCGAAATTTCAAAGAGCTGATTACACGTTTTTCGCGAAACGGTTCATCCTTGTAGTTAATGTAGGTTTATGGTGTTGTCAATATCGTCGCGAAGATTGATCGTGTTGTTAAAGGTTTTAAGGGCTCAGAGCGTTCTCAATATGCCTTTAGGTAATCAAAAAAAGAACAGAGAGTACGTGTAAAGAAAGTTCTCGCCAGTTTATGTGTTATAAAATAAGTTATTGCCATTTTGGGTTTTGTAAAAAAAGTTCTTGCCATTTTTGTTTTGTAAAGAAAGTTTTTGCAATTTCGTGTGTTGCAAAGAAAGTTTTTGTCATTTTTTGGCCTTTAAAGAAAGTTCTTGCCGTTTCAAGTTTTGTAAAGAAAGTTCTTGCAATTTTTTAGTTTGTAAAGAAAGTTCTTGCAATTTTTTGTTTTGTAAAGAAATTTCTTGCTATTTTTTTTTGTAAAGAAAGTTCTTGCCATTTTTTGTTTTGTAAAGAAAGTTCTTGCAATTTTTTGTTTTGTAAAGAAAGTTCTTGCAATTTTTTGTTTTGTAAAGAAAGTTCTTGCTATTTTTTTTGTAAAGAAAGTTTTGCCATTTTACGTCCAATTATGTATATTTCAATAAAAAATTATAAAACTCACAAAAATTCTAAAAAAATAAAATTTTCCAAAAATTTTCTCGCAACATCAAAAAAAGCCCACCCCCGTACTTTCACCCCGCCGCTCACGTACGATCGCCACAATCAACGTCGTAATAATTACAGCCCGAGAAACATTCGACGGCACACGAAAAGAGAGAAAGCGAAAACAAGAATCCAAAAAGCGATCGAATGAGTCGATGGAGCAGATAACATCAGCTCATTCAGTGCCAGGCCACCAAAACACCGTTTTTGGAAACGGGTTTTCGAAAAAATATCGATTTTTGTGGAATTTTTGACAGAAACACAATAGGGCTTTTGCATAACAAGATCTTATACTTTATATACACTGAAAATGCCTTGTATAGCTCAAAGAATTATATACAGGAACCTGTAGCTCGAGGGTTTAAAATGTGTTCGTTATGAAGAAGTTTCGTTATACAGAAGTTCTAAATGCGCTGTGTATTGCTAACCAGAGCTTGAAAAGCCTTACAGAACGTTTTGAAAGGGTCTGTTATACAAAAAAAATTTTTTGATCACCCCCTATTTCAAAAATTTTTTACCCTGCCCAAAAATTTTTTTTTTAAATTTTAAAAAACACGT